TCTCAGCACTTCAATAGCCTCTCATGTAAGTAAAAGAGTAAGCTCTTTTACAATATAATATTTATTAAAAATCAAGTAGAACATTAAAAAGATTGTACGGACTATTGCCTTTAGCCACGTATGTTCGGCTATTGACAATTAAAATAGTTGTCCTGTGAATTCTGAAGTGTAAAAAACAAAAGAATTCACAACGACATCTGAATGACATGCTTTGGCACAGCCAAATACTTTAAGCTGAACTTACGGTTATGTTCGTTATTACTGTTGACTGTAACTATAGAGCCGTAGGGAAGTTATCACTTTAAATTAGTACACACATGATCTTGTTTCCTTCTATTACACTTTATCACTTTGTCTCGCACATCGTGAAAATAACCTTATGTCGCGATGTCTTACAGCTTAGCAAGGTCTTTTTCGTTGACAGAGGATGACAGAAAGCCGTTTGTTAAGGCACCTGAAGTTTAAATAACAAATATGAGTTACTTCGTATGTAGCCGCAAAACCGGCATTTCTGAAGTGCTCGTTTTGAAAAGGTGCCAAGTTACGTGAATTTACTGGCAACCTCAGGTGTCAGTAGGTGCGACCGAACATACCGCATTGATGTTTACGAATCGTCACTGGATAACCTCGTAACCACTGCCATCTGTAATGGGAACAAATTAATAAATTAATGCTGATGACTTATGAATCTGTTCCTGGTTTATTTCTGCTGCAAACCAGTGTCCAGCGTCTGCAGTCCCTCTTCAGATGACAAAGGGAACTGCTGGCTCGAGAGTCTTCAATCGAATTGATGCGGTTGTTCGCGTTCGTTAGACTTAGATAGTAATTGCTTTACATTATTATCCAAGTCAGTGATAACCGAGGATATGTTGTGCATCATTTTAGTCAAGTCATTGATAGCTGACAATATGTTCTACACCACTGTATACAACCTATCGAAACTGAAAAAGTTCACTTGATGGTTCAGGTGACTTACCGGTTCGCTATAGCACCACCGACATGCTTAGATTCTGATGTTGAATCTGATGTCTCTAATTGTGTCGAACTAATTCGTAATGAAACCTACTTGGTGATTGGCGAGACGAATTTTTCAAACAACCGAAGTTTTAGATATTGTACGTGGCGATTGTTAGCCTGTATCTTAGCCACGTTCATGTCTACTGAATTGTAAAGAAATTCTTCTTTACGCTTCATTGCGCCTCTAGGAAATGTTAGTAAGATTATTGTACTGACCTCTTTGGCTTCTCAGTGTTTTGTGGAAATGTTTCGACGGTGAGATTCCAGTATTTTCAGGGAAACTAAAAGATCTTTCGCAGACTGCAGAGAATCTATAGTGAATTATAGTTTCTTTGTTTGTTACTTACCGAATTCATGAATGACTTTACATTTCAGAACTGCCCAAATGTAATCTGGTTGGTCGCACCTTTGTAGGTGGATATCGACAAGCTCCGTTGGATAAAAGCAAAGTTCTTTGCTAACAATCCACTGCTTGACTGCTATCATGAGTTGTTTCTTGCTAGGGACGTTGACAATGACCTATTGCTTGTTAGTGGTCTAAAAATAACATAAGACTTAAGTAAATGGTTTATCATCATGAATTAAGCACTAACGAAACAAAATACATTTACATTAAAGTATGCAACAATGGGATTAGAACTAGATAACTGATACAATATATGGCTATACATTTGCAATCAATGTCCTAAACCGATACCCATGTGCGTTCATGGCTAACTAGGGAAAGGATCTTCGAAGTAATTGCGTGGGTCAGTGAAAGACCTAAATTACAGTAGTCCATCCTCCTTTATATCAGTGACTAAACCAGGCTGTCCGTTTACTCTCACTACATTATCAGGCTTAGATGAAGTTATTTTACTATTCTTAAACATAATTACTTGTTTATTGGAGACATCATTAGCTACGTTGCGACCTATCGCAGAAGGACATTTTTTCAGCATAACGCTGAGCTGCTTGCTTAGCTACAGCAAACCCACTGTGCACAGAATCCTTAATCTGTCTCATATAAGACTCGAATGGAAAGGCTGAAAAAATTTCTAAAGGTCCATGTGCACGAACGTCGTCAGGTAGGTGCTGTAACGAATGCACATTGTAAACTAAGTGTTCACACCCATAACACTACCATGTCAACAACTCAACTTAGAACCTCTTTGGATCAGACGTATCAAATTAAATCTTGTCTTTATCTACCGGCTCATTAACGGTATTTCCTACTCATCGGTATCTACCCCTTCATACCTTATAATATCGTCCCACAATCTACGCAATAAGGAGAATATTCTAGCGATTCCAAGAACCCACACAAACTTACGTCAGAATTTTTTCCTTATTCGCTACTCAACCATGTGGAACAGACTGCCAGTGAACCTCCGTTGCAGTGAAACTACAACCCGGTTCAAAAGTCTCCTTGACGATTTTCTTTCCGAAAGTGGATTATGCCACCTATTGAATATCAATGTATTCAATAATGATTTATACAAACAAGGTCCGTCATTTATTTAATTGCTTGAAAAGCAAAATAAAACCTTTAAATCTTTTCACGTCTATTTTGTTTTATTTCTCTTTATCTTAATATATGAAGTCTGATTATGTTCGTGTTTTATCATTATTACCGTTATTGTTATCATTATTAGTTCCCCGACACATTAGATATTCTTTTTGTATCTTCTTACCCTTCTAAACATATTTAACTCCAAATTGTCCTTTGAAATATTTATACTAATATCCGGTTTCACCCTGTATACTATTACATAAATCTAAATGTATTCATCCGAGTGCATTGAAGGATTTTTATTTCATTTTTCTAAATTGTTGGTTTCCTTCTGAGGTTGATATTCATTACACAATTATTATTCTTATCATGGATCAAAACTTTTCACTAGGTGTTCACTTCTTTTCTCTTTTCTTTCCCTCTAAATAAATATTCTTAAGACTACGAAGTTTGTAATTAAGACAATAACTTGTGTTTTATCTTCACTATGCATATATGACTACTCATACACATAGATATTTTATTACCTTTTTCATTTAATTGAGACTTTCATAGCATCACTCCAAACTATGTGACTGCACAGACATTTATATTCTAGCGTCATATCTTACTGCAATTATAAGTTATTTTTTCTTAATTATTTTTTGTTACTAATTTAACGATACACACATAGTCGTTTATTCTTGTTCTGTGTTCATAAACACGCTTATTAGACTGTTTGCGTATTTCATGTCTCCTTTATTTCTATTCCCTTATTTTCTCCATTTCCTTCTTTAAACCCAATTCAATATTCTTCTCAATTACAAAGACCCCATTTATTATTATTAATACTCTACTATTATTATTCTCAATTATCTATTTTATTTTCATTATTATTATTTTTTTTAAATATGGCAAGTATAATGCTAACATTATTGAGAATTGTGTATAATTGCATTTTCTGAAGAAACCCGAAATGGTTTCTTCACAACACTTATGTACCCATAAGATGTTTGTGAATAATAATAATAATAATAATAACAGTATTATGTAATTTAGGATGTGCAAGCAGATAAATGGATAACGATAAACGCCGGAAATTAAGATACAAAGGTTGCGGCAATGTTTTTTGAAGAATCACCGGGCCTATATACGGAAGGAACAACCTACATTCAGAAGCTTTCCATGCCGATACAAAGTCTAGTGTACGGCATTTTCGCAGAAAGTTGGAAGGAGTACTTGCCACGCAACCTGATATTAAATTATTTATGTCCCTAATTGCACATGAGTTCAAGTTCAGCAGTTTCCTCTGTGCTAAATCTATCCACAAATTAGCCAGCTCTTTTGTGACACCTAGGTACACTATGTGCATAGGATCTAAAGGAAAAGCTAAAATCATATTAATCGAAAGCGTTTCCATAATAGAATGTTCTTGATGGTGAATAGATTGAGTCTATCGACGAAAGCTGTCGTCCGTTCTTAAAGTATATACCCCATTTGCAAAGGTCATCTTCTCCTCCAGCCGTCTCCCAAGTACAGTACACCTATCGCAACCTGCCTTACTATTATGATTAACGGTGTACCGAACAGAAGAACGAGCAGGTGAGTCACATATAACAGACACCAGCCTGAAAGCTACGTATTTATTAGGCTTAACACTAGAAAGACCAACGTCAGTCATTTCTTTTATTTCAGAAATTGTGTTTGCAGAAAATTCGCTGAATTCTGCCGGTTTAGTATTCCCTCCGTAGATCCCTATCAGGAACACGTCGCCAAACCTAGAGGCAATGATCCGTCCTAGTATAGGCCATAACTGTTGATTGGAGCTTCTAAACATGGAAAGTCCATCTACAGTGATATATAAATTTAAGGTGTCAAAATCAAAAGTACACAACCAAAGTTCAACGTATCTTAGCAGATTGGTTTTCAAACCTAGATGGGAGTAAACACCACTGCCGATGAACATGGGTTGTGCACTTGGATAGGAATAAGCTAGCTCATTCCTATCTTGCTTTGTTCACCGTTTTATTCGTACACTTCAATTTACTCACATTGTCTGGGTTACCAATCAGTTAACTTAATTATTTCTTCGTGAGACAACCGTCTTCTAGTTGTATTCGAGTTTCCTCTTTATTGTTTCTCACAATTCAACCAAACCAACTCATCCCTGGTACATTAATGATTATCGATTCCAGAAAACTTACACTCCTGAGTCAGATACGCTCACTCAGATTAACATATACATGAACCCACAAATAACTACAACAAATGACTAGAACTGTTATAGTCGAGTGGCTAGACTACAGCCCACTGTGAATTACCAGAGAGTTGGAGCCGTAACAAAATCACAAAGAGTGAGTGAAAAGAAATCGATTGGTTTATACAAGTTCATCACAAAGATATTTGATTTGGGATAAGTGGTATGGTGAAACATTGGACACTGTCTTTTAATGCTTCACTACTTTAATTTACTGGTACAGTTTACACTATCAGGTTTTCGAGAGAGTTGACAATGTATGGAGGTTCTATGTCTGGTAAAGATGATGAGTACGATTATCTGTTTAAAGGTAACAAAAGATCTAGCAATTTATTTCAATTGAAAAGTTGTACTAATCGGAGATTCGGGTGTCGGGAAAAGTAACTTACTCTCACGTTTCACAAGAAACGAGTTTAATTTGGAAAGTAAAAGTACGATCGGTGTTGAGTTCGCTACAAAGTGAGTCTGTGGGAAATATTTATTGTGGCATTTAGGAGCGTGGAAATTGATGGAAGGACTATAAAGGCACAGATCTGGGATACTGCTGGTCAGGAACGTTATCGAGCTATAACAGCCGCGTGAGTTTACAATCTTTATGTAGAGATTTCAGTGCTAGATCTAAGAAACTGGCAAATATGACCTTTTCATTTTCGAGTTACTGTTGTGATAGTACTTGGTCTTCTTAATGACTGCACACAATACGTTGTAAAGATGATTGCGTCTGACAAAAACGCAGTTGTGCACCGATTGCTAAATGTAGCATTCTATCAAAGCGTCTCGACGTTATTCATTGTTTAGTAGTCTTAAAGTGCTTGTGTATTCAAAGATTTTGGCCATTATATTTACTTATTTTAATTAACCTGAATAATAATAACAGTCATCATGAACTTAGAACAATTTGTACCTGCAAGTGGACAGTCATTCCATGTATTTCCATGTGCAGAACTCTGATATTTAAAGTTCATGTTTTGAAAGCAAGACTTCAGAATGGTACTAAAAATGGGTAGTGGTTAACAGTGGAATGTTGGAATGGCGTTTCGTTTTGTTGATGTAGAAGATGAGACTCCAGTCCTGTACCATTCGCTTCAAACGCCAACGCTTTGTTCACTGAATTATTGAGTTCAGGTAGCAATGTAAGAAGACAACACGGATTGAATTAAACTTAGTTGCCGCCTACATAAAGAGGTTGTTGTGTTGAGTCACTCGTGTTCGCTGGTGGTATTGCTGAAAAGCAGGCTACTCTAAACCTATTTTCAGCAGATGTAAGTCAGTGTTCCATAACCTTGAAGTGATCTTATTCATATGAGTGGCTTTATTTCAGTTTTTAATAATCAACCACTTGATAAGAGAAGTTTCTGGACCTTATAGCGTTACCAAATTACGACTTGCTTCGTATCTTGAGATTTATTTTTCATATCAGTGTTTGGTAGCTTATCCACTTAATGTCTTAGTCGCCCTAAATCTTCAGTGAGTTTTATTTTGTGTCCACAGGCTAGGTTAGCTTATATCTATAAATGGACAGATGTCTAGACAAATATCCTGCTTCGCTGTACGGACTTAAGATGATATTCCTGTGTGTCCTGGATCTGCTTAAAGTTTGTAAGTCTGTGAGATGGTAAATGTAATACGACTTAAACGTCTATCCACTTGGTGTCGGTTTTGAACTAAAGATGCCGCTCTATCCAATTTGGTAGAGTGGACAAAAGCAGTCATAGAGAGTTTCAAAATAGTTGTCGTAAGTGAATAACTCGAAATGGTTTAGTTTGGCTTAGTAACTATACTTGGGTTTCTAAACTTCCAGTCGTGGTTTTTGCGAGAACCAGTGATACTACTGGATAGAACAAACTGTAGTGAGTGGGACAGCGTTGAAACACGCGATATGAATGATGGAAGCTGAATATTCCAACTGATATTTGTCATAATGTAATTACTAATAGATGGTTATTTAGACCTAACATGTAAACGTCTCTTTCATAATGCTCAGTCTGATAAAATGTCAAAGTGGTTTTATTAGATTCTCTACTTGTTGTCAATTTCGCCCAGTGTCCGCATAGTTCCTTAGTTTTATGCGCCTTTAAATAAATAAATGTAAATATTCATGTATATTAGAGTAAAGCCTGGTGACGATCTAATTGAAAACAATTATTTGCTTACATGTGTTGTTCCAAACTGGTTTTTATTGGATTCTCTTATTTTTGTAAATTTCGCCCAGTGTCCGCATAGTTCCTTAGTTTTTTCCCCTTTTAGTGTGCTTAGACTCGGTGGACATGATTTTTTTACTGATCTTTAGTTAACATTACAAAACTAGATACCGGTAGAAACGAGTTGTCATTATTAGGATGAAAATCCTGGTCTTCATTTCTTTCCAGCATTCTGATCACATCACTCCATCTGGCTAAGTAATTTCATGCATACCATTGACCAAGCTATTTTACATATTGTAGTATGCAGGAGGTTATTTGGCATAGTATGTTCGAGACTATTGACTCCGTTTTGGCTCACTCTCGTTGTTTAACTTAGAAGTCATAATTCCACTAGGCATCATCAGATGTAAACAATGACATATTTTAACGTTTTCTCCTGAAGCTATTACCGTGGTGCTGTCGGTGCGCTGTTGGTTTACGATATCACAAAAAGAGAGACTTTCAACAATCTGGAACACTGGTTACTGGAGTTACGAGGCCATGCAGAACCAGATATCGTTATTATGTTGGTTGGTAATAAGTGTGACCTTAGGCATCTGCGAACTATATTGACGGAAGATGCGAAGCTTTGGGCTGAAAGGCATGGACTATTCTTTATGGAAACGTCGGCTCTGGAATCCACCGGCGTTGAGAATGCTTTTTACTCGATTCTTAAAAGTTAGTTTTATATTTCAAATCATATGATGACTTAAGTTTTGATTGAGAAGATGATGTTAACTGGGTAAAATAGATTTTGTTGTTTTGGTGCTCTTTGGTTTATCATTTGCATAGATTACATTGGCTCACCACTCAACTGTAAATCTTTAAGGCTTTAATATGTAAGGAAGCTCGTTGGTTCACATCAACAGACTACGTTTGAGGACAAATATTTTTCTAGGATGATGATGCTTTATCTTTGTTACCCCATCAAAATATAAGGCTAACTTACTTTATTGTTATTGGTTTTTGTGACTTGATAAAAGATGGAGTGTGACACTTTACTACGTCAGGGTGAATGCCATTGTCATTATCCATCCCACCTCTTGTATATGTCCTTACTTTGTCAATATGATGATGTAACGACTTGTTGTTTACGGTTTATGGACATATTTAGACACAAAAACGTTGTCAAATCTGTGCCTTCAGTTTCATGTACGAGATATTCACCGTACAAAATGTGTGGTGAAGTAAATATTGAATGGTAAGAATTAGTAAATGAAAAGCCATCACACAGTATTGCGATGTACGATTTAATTCGAAGTATGTATCTGAATAAATGTAATTGTTTTAAATTAATTACGTGAACATTCGGTTAGTGTTGGTGAACACATCGGCCTAAAAGTTGTGTTTACTTAGACAGAGTTGAATATGAATACTTTTCCATCCATGTATTTGTCGATAAAGTACTACCTAGGCACATTAGTCTAGCCCAAGTTCTCTACAGTGATTTAGTGATAAGTATAGTATTGCTAGCATTTTGTTAATATGAATGAGTTGTTCTTACTGTCTCCCAGAGCGGATTGTTTCTATGAATATGAAAAGAACAGAAGGATGAGAGTTTTGAATGTAGAAGAGATTCCATGATGACCAAGGAGTGCTGATATGCCGATGGAGGTTTATCAGGATTTGGTTGTTTCCAGTTCTCCGTGGCATGAAGGTTGGTATTGTGAAGCATCAGTAATTGAATGTGGGTTATACTGTTTCACCACTTCAATGCTAATGTAGCACCCTCCAAGCAGGTAATAAACATCTTCATTAGAAGTTGAAACCCTAGCTGTTGCTAGTTGATACTTGTCGCTAATGTGTGCCTGCACCTTTGGGAGAGAACTAATGCTTCCCAGTGGATCGGAACTGATTTGCGTTGCCCAACGTCACATTATAAGAGGTTATCACTAAGCTCAGTCAGTCAGTAACAACTTAGAACTTCGTACGTACGTACATCAGTTCGAGTTGCCATACCACATTTGCACAGAGATGCATTTGTCAATTCAAATCCCGTAGTGATAGAGGTAGTAAGAGTATAAGCAGTAATCGGAAAGATTAGGGTTTGTAGATGTTATTTAAAGAGTATAATCCATTGAAATAAATTTGGCAAGAGAAAAGAGAGACAAGGAGGAATCAGGAGATTAGAGTTTGGAAGAACAAAAAGAGTGTATGCACCTGCGCCATTGCAAACGATTTTTAGCCATGTCATTCAGAGTCTCTAAACATCGGTTGCTGTCATCTCACGGTCCCCAACCAGGTAGTCTACACCTACCAATATGACTCAGTCCACTTGTCAGTGACTTAATGGACTTGTGCCATGTTTTGGTCTGGCCGCCCCTAGCTTTCTTCCAACCTACTCCTTTACCACTGAACATCGCACATTATTATCACTAAGCTATTTGAGCCATAACCGACTTCTCGTAGGAATCAGTTGTTTACAAATGATTGATCAGTGGAGTAGTGGCAGTGACCAATGCTGTGTTTGTCTGGTCTTTTTGTGCTACTGTTTGAATTCTACCAATCAAGTGTGCAATAGTCGTTCATTGAATTTTGTGTAAAACTGCCAAACATTTGATTTGTAGTCTTACTGTTCTTTTTATCATTTACATTGTGTCCAGCCATTTTCGAAGCTGTCCGTTCACATCCTCCAGTGAGTAATGTCGACATGAAAATGTCTCCATATAATCAACCCATTGTTTCGTCGAACACAGACAATTCAAACAGTGGACGACGGTGTTGTAGTTAGAAACAAGGGAATAATCAAATAACAATTTGTTTCCATTTTGTATGAAGAGAATTGATTAATTATTTTTCTGTAAACTATTATTGTTAATAAATTGATTGATTGATTGATTGATATCAGTAAATCGACAACAAATCGATGGACAGAATGTTTATGATAAATGTAAATTAGTGGTGGTTGCTGTTGTCTTTCTTGTTTTTGACGTTAACGATTACTGATTCGGTCGCCACTGTCTCTACTTATTCATTATTTATTTTGTGTGGATGAAATCATTTGCATTGACTTTTGTTTTGTGCACATTTCCACCTTTCGCGTGTTCGCTTGTGTGTGCGTGTGCGTGTTTGTGAATTCAAAGGAGAGAATGAAGAAGTGAAGGCAAGTTGTTGTTGTAGTAGTAGTGATGGAGCAGTGTTTCAAACGCTTTCCTTCCCGGCCCTCCATAGCAGTTTTAACTTATTTTACACCAGTGTAAAATGTGAATGAGCAAAGTGAACACTGAATCTTCGTTGTGTGCATCATATGAGAGAAGTGATTTGATACAGTCACGAATGATGACAATTGAGTAAGTTGTTAATGAGGTTAGTGGGAGACTACACTACAATGACATTGCAATCATCATCATCATCACTACAATTTATTGTTTGTGCATGTGTACAGCTGTGTTTTTCCCAGTTCATTACTTGATTGATAACTTTCTAGTGAACTGTATAGTATCTCTTAACAAGAATAAATCTAACTGATGATTACATGCACATGCATACTGACTTATACAAGTACACACATTTTCACGGCACTATTCTTTTGTTCATTGTCTATCACTATTGTATTTTTACGAAATGAATACTTGTTTGTTTTGTTGATCAATGTGTGCGGAACACATTGTTTTGTATGACGCTGTAAACTGTGTTTCTCCTTGCTGTGAATTTCATTTTATACTAACTGTATTGTTATTGAACTATGCCAGATGATAACTGAGGTGACACACTATATTTTTAGTGAAAATACTAGTAATAGATGAGAAGGAACTGAATCTTCAGTAGAAAGTCCATTTTTCCAGTTTTATCTCTTTTAAACAAAAACAAACAAACAAATTTGTATTATATGTATTATGATGTGAACTGTGTTTGCTAATGAACTAATTTTTCTCTTCTTATCAACATAAATTGATTTTTCTACCTAGAGTCGGTGTGTTTTAGAGTTTTTGCTGTTGTCATGTGGTGGGATAGAAGTTTTCGGCAATACGATGTTAGTAAGCAGACTAAGGCTGAACTGCACAATTCATCCTAATGTGAAATTCAGTTTAGGTGTTTCGTCGTGATTTTGCTGCGTATGAATTCATTAGATAACTGTGCAGTGTTAAACACGGGAAGTGAATGTGCATAATGTTCTTTTGATAGTGTTAGTGAGTCATGCGCATAGCAGGACGTAACACGATTTTGTATTGGTGGAAGTTGTCACATCTCATGAGTATAGCGAGAAATCAGATTGACAGAAATGGTGTTAGTATGAATGGTAGTTGTGAAAGTGAAGTATGGAGAATGAGTGGCGAAAAATGCACCGATCGGTTGGATAAGATAGTATAAAATAATTTTGAACTTGAAGACCTCAGGGAAGACAGGGTGGATACGTCAGCATGATTGCTGCCAATTCCGAGTCATATCACCCGAAGTGTGCGGCCACTGGTCGTGGTTATCTCGATGACTGAAGGCCGTTAGTGTACGTCTACCGATACAGCTCTGTTCGGCAGTCAGTAACTCGGTGTATTGGTGCTACATTTCTGACGGTTCTTGCTACCTTGACTGACGTGCTGGTTATGCTTTCCTATCGTAATGAACCAATCGAGTTATACTGGCTGGAACAATCATTCCTCAAGGTCCTACCATGCCAGAAAGGGCGGTTGAAGAGCGATAGGTCTAAAAGCAGCAAGCCCAAGGTCCGAGGGCAAAGTCGTACTGTGGACTACACATAGGTGTTACGGTTGTAAAGTGTTCCCTTTAAACAGCCAGCATATCAAAAATGATGCCTTTGCACAAAGCAAGTGTGGGGTTAGAAATGGCCGAGCCTAAAAGTGCACCGCTCATCTTATCATGGATTTCCTTCGCAGACGGTTAGGTTCCAAAATGTATTGAGCTTACATGGAAATTACCCATTAAAATGCCTTGTATGAGCGACATCAAACATCTGTCTTTTGAGCATTGCGGTTTCGCCCTCAGGTCTCTAAGGTCATCCCTGATAATTTGCCCAGGACAGAGTTGGATGGAGAACGCTAGTGAGCGGACTATGCTCCTTCACGAGGAGTAACAGGCGAAAGTAAATGATTGATAACTAACATTTGCTCACCATTATTCACATAATTGTAACCACGACTATACACTGTAAGTAATATGGTTGATCACTTCATAAAACTCAATAGTCATTCACAAAATTCTCTTGAAAACAAATTCGTCATTGTGTAGATCATGTCAATATTATTAGAAAGAAGCACATACAATCACAATAGATGGTACATGTATACACACAAATAGTTTAGTATTATCTTTGTTGAGCACATCAACTAATTGACATGATCGATCGATCGATCGATCAACTAATCATTGGCACTACGATACATATGAAAATCGATTGAATTTATCGATCTTCCCCTTGAGTGATACCGACAACAACTACTACCGTCAAGGTCATTACACCTGCCTTGTTTAACCAGAGTGTTAATCGAACCAGTGATGATCTTTCATGTCAATCAGAGTAATGACACTGTATACAGAAATCTAGTCCATATTCAATGTAGATGATCATTTCAGGTATTTGAATTATGCAGAAAATGTTGAATAAGAACAGAACATTCATGTAACCAGTAATGATGAAGTGAACTAATTCAGGACAGAATGAATTGGAGAGTATTTTATGAATTATTGATTGGTTGACATGATATTATGTAATAGTAATTAAGTGATATATATATTTTGAAACTTCAATGCTGAAATTCACCTAAACCATAGTGTAATAGTAACTATCTAGTGGTGTAGTATGCTACTTATATCTGTCGACATAAGTAGTATGTAGTGCCAGTAGTTCTTTAATGATCTAATGATACAAATAATGTTGATACAGAAATATATTAATCAGAATATTTACGAGTAAGTGAATGCGACACCACGACGTAGGCCAGTCCGTGACGCGTCTGGTCTGAGTTGGCTAACAGTTGCAAGGGATGTGTAGCACGGTATACCCAGTCGTTATCTGGTTTCGAAGCGTTACCGAGCGCCTTCAGTTAGGTGCGTACGGTGAAAGTAATGCGGCTATCATCAAATGTTGGAGACATACAGAGTTATTTATTTTGAGGATTTATTTACCGCTACACTGACGGAGATGCTACTTTGGGAGTGGAAAACGAATCCAAACATAACGGCACAATTCTCGGGATTCATTAACTATTAATTTGAATGAAGTCACGGCAACTAACTGTACGCTTCGCTTATTGACTAAACATACTGAAATGAAACCAAAGATGTTTTATAATAGTGAAATAACAATTGGGATATTGAGAACAAGCGTTATAAAATCTAATGGATATACAAATTTAGTTGACTAATCATGTGTCCTTGTAAATTTTTAATGTTTCTACAACTTCACTCTCTCTGTGTGTCTCATAAACAATGAGAATAACTTTGCTCTAAATTCAAACATGACCTATTCTAATGCATAGAAGTTCATACCAAACTTAGTTATTGTTGTCATGTCGACGATAGAAACAAATGGTAAACAAAACTATTCTCTATTTGAGGAACAATGATGTTCAGTGTATGATGTAAATTAGTTGTTCATTTGAGAAGAAGTATATGAGTTGGTAACTGTATAAATGATTTTTGTGATGGGCTTTCAGTGAAAACTTCGCCATGTGGTACTCTTAGATTCTTGTCATTGTTGGTGTCATTTGTGCTATTCTACTTATCGACTAGTTATTTCACTCATTGTTTAATGCATCCGATTTGTTTGCAACAGTTTCACACACACAATTCTATCGATTACTTGTTGTGGTGGGTGTGTGTGAGTGTATTTGTATGACTACTAATCTAATTAATCCGATTTGTTGTATGTGACAGTAGGTAGTTTTGAAGGAAGTAAGGGGATTCTGTAGACTTACGTATTGTTGTTATTCGTATTTGAGTTTATGGCGAAATAACAATTTTGAAGAAATCGATGGTCGTTCCAGAGAACTCTGTAGTTCGAATTATTGCTAGTGAAGTGTTTAAACTTCGTCTCACCAATATTTGAGGATCAAATGGCAAACGATACAAACAGCTTGATATGTATTGTATTCATGTGAATTACTTGTCAAGTAATGTATCTGATGATCAATCGATTTGTATTGAGAACTTATCATTTACTTCATGTTTTATGACGACATCTTCGATAAACGCAGTGTTCTTATGATCAACATTGTTGATTATGTTCTAATTTATCAATAGCTAACAATTATTTGTTTGGCTAGCAACGAAATAAATGACGAGTGTTTCATTCTGTTTGGAACTCATATTTAGCTAGATGTACCTGTACCCCAGAAGTGATATGCATTGTGAGACTCGAACCCTTTACTATTTGCTTTGAACACCACCAAATTGTCCGCTTAGCTACTGAGCTGATGACTCTTAAATCGGACAAAACCCGTTTCCTGGATTCTACTACTAGCCACATTCTATCTATTCTACATGAACTTGTGTCATAGGTGCTTATTTGGACTATTGAGTGCATCGACTTATTCAATTTGCCATTGGTTTCCATTATTTCAGGAAAAGATAGAATAAATGACTTAGCATAAATCATTAGTGTGAGACGGATTAATGAGACTCATCAACTTTTCATATTCAAGATTTTAGGAAGTATTTCAGAAGAAAATCGATTATACTCTGTCAAAATGGTGCTGAACCTTGATGCGAAGTTATTTATTGCAGCTTATTCGGTAGTACACCATGAGTAATGAATAGGTAATACATTAATGTAAGCTTCTATAAAGCATATCTAGTAGACATGTCTATATTCATGTTATATCTCGATGAGAATAATGACTGGTAACTGTTGGGATTGATTTCTGGACTGATACTACACATACATATTCTTATTGTATAACTATTGAGTAACTTAACTATTCGTATTTGTGTTCCTTTTATCATGAGCTTTATCTCGATTTATACGATTTACCATTCTTGAGTTCTATTCAGTATATTAATTACTACATCCATCACTCAGAGCCACATTTGGCTAGATCTTGTACAAATGTTGTTTCCTATTTTATGGTGTGATGTGGTCTGTCTGGTTGGTATATAAACCCAGTATGTTTGAAATACATGATTCATATCACAGAGGCTGAGATTGGTGTTCTGGACTCCAACAGGCAGGGTTAGGCAGGAAACAGGACCGGTAAAGTCTCTAGACTGCTCGTACTTGTTTTACGCGTCATTGATCTGGTCGATAATTCACTGTCCTTTAATTGGCGGTATCATTACATTGTACATTGATAGGGGCACAAACCCACAAGTTATAATAATTAACTGGTTATTGAATTACATTTACTTTAGTACATAAGAATGTCAATTATTAAATAAAACGTCTTGTTTGTTTATGACTTGTACAGAAATTTGTTCAGATGTTAACTAATTTATAGTGAACTCTTAAATTCCATCTATTGTTTACTCAAAATATTTTGTTTGACTGAATCGATCGTTTATTCACATATTTACATCGGAAGTATAGACTATGTTATAACCAGTTGAATAATTATTGATTGCCAGGCAAAATATGGCTATTAGGACTCGGTAGCTAAGTGGATAACGCGATGATGTTTGAAGCAAACGGTACTGCGTTTGAATCCCGATAAGAATATCAACTCTCGAATGTGATAGGTACATCCAGATGACGAGTCCCATATAGGTGGTGTTCTTAGGGGACCACATCCCGAGCCTATGACCTTAAGGTCTAAACCAAAAGGCGGTGGAGTGACGTCAGGAGATGCAGTCCCATAGTAGTCAGTGACCAACAATTGGTTCATACGCCATTTGTTCCATCAGGATAATGGAGCCCATGTACACCATTGGTTTAGAATGCGGGTTTTCGAACTCCGCTAGGTGGATCCTCTATATCCAACAACCCGGTTATATCACCGGACATTCGCTTTTCGTTCTCTCAATTTCATAAACAACACTCGTGATGTGGGAAACCAGTGAGTAGGACTTTCCCGGCAGTGGTTATATGCACGTGGTCACTT